GCCCCTGCACAGCTGCTTCCGGCTGCTGCTGATAGGGTGGCATGTCCAGAGCTCATTCTCCCAGGTGCCTCTGGGCCCAGCCTGCCTTCTCAGCAAGGTTCATTGACCTCCCAGATGCACATGAGCTTTGATTTCCCACTCCTACTCTTACCAGATCCCCTCCTGCTGGGGCCCAGTCTGCTTCCACTCTGCCTGTGCCCTGGGTGGGCACAGTGCCTCTTCCTATTGGAACCAAATTGATTTCTTCCACATCAGAGTGGTCATTGTCACTCTGGGTAATGTATTTTAATGAATTGTCATTTGCTGGATGTGGACCCAAAGGACTTTTTATTACAGAGGGCCCCATCCCAGAAGCTTTAATAAATCATGTTTGATTTGAATCACACCTGCCATTTGGTCAGAGAGGGGTCTCTCTTATCAAATCATTGCCAAGGAAGGGGTCCCTTGTACCTTCTACTCTTCAGCTGGAATTTTCCATTGTTCTTGGTTTGGCCATCTGTCCTGATATCTCCATAAGTGAAATCTGCTGCTCATTAGGAAGAGCGGGGCACTGGTGGCTGTGGTGTCCTTAATCTTGTTCTCAGTTGGTCACCTGGGTCTGAGTTTGCTGAGACATTTTCCTCATGTGCACGGGTCCAGACCCCAGAAGAGTTTGTTAAAATGCTGATTCTTGACCATGCTTCAGTCCTCTGAGTAGAAGTTTCTGGGTTAGAATGTACATTTGTAATGACTTCCTGAAGAGGTTCTTATGAAATTCAAGAGGAGAAAGCCACTGCCCTAAAGCTGTACAACCAGAGCATCTCTTATGTATTAGTTTCTTGTGTTCTGCCTTGAGTGTGGCAGATGGATGCGACTTGCCTTTCCTGCAGCCTGGTCCTCCCCAGGCATGTAGCACTGCACACACCTGCGCACAACACGCCACTGGGAGGGTGCCTCAGGGAGCAGGTCCTCATCCAGCCCAGCTAGGGATTTTCCTCCGATCTTTCCAAAAGCATGACTCGCACATCTGGATCCTGGCCGAGGTGGAAGAACGGCCCCTTGGTACATGCAGTTAGCTCAGTGTAAAGGGTGGAGTCCAGGACTGGGATGAGCAGGGAGATATAGACAAAGAAACATGCCCTTGAAGACATTCTGGAACTCTTAGCTTCTTCCCCAGAGAATTGGACAGGGAAGTGGCCCATGGCATAGGATGTCCAGGCTGGCCCCAGATGGTAGCCTGGGGCTCCCTGTCTTGTGCTGCCAGTGGCCTGTGTTTCTGCAATTATCACCTGTGCCTGTGACCTCTCAAGCAGCCAGACTTCCCCTTGTGCCATGCCCTCCTCCCCCAAGTGACCAGATCCTCTCATCTCAGGTGGCTTTGTCTGAGCTGCAAGGCTGCTGGGACTTGGATGAGATGGCTGTGGTGGCCCTCAGTGGCAGAGCCATAAAGCTGTCTCCCCCAGCACCTGTAAGTTCTCTGTTCTCTCCTCCCCCACCAAATTTCACTTCTTTCCTTTTTCTGTTTGCCTCTCTCTTCTGTCCTTCCTGTCTTGATAGATTGAAACCAACACTATATTCCGGTTTCTTGTGGTCCTGGTAAATAGCTCTTAATGTAGCCATGCTGGATGGGGAGCACGGAGCAATAAAACTATGTGTCCTGGGGGGCTGGGGGCCCTGGGGACACTTATCTTCATCTGCATAAGAGGAGGAGGCGTAGGTGCTCTACAGGTCATGCCCCATTGCCAAGGTTCAGCAGAGCCTGGGGATGTGTGGCAGATACAGACAAGAGGACAACTCTAGTGCTGAGTGGCCTGGAACCTGTGCTCCTTGTGGAGCTGGTGCTGAGTACCTGGCCTCTTCAAGGCTAGCAGGAGAGATTTCATTTGCCTTTAGCAAACAGGATTTAATTAAACAATTTATAAGTCTTTGATTTCTTGACTAGGCCTAAGTCTTTTGGCAGTTATTACTCTTGGTACTGCTGCAAACAAGAGCCCGTGTGGGGATATATTACTTGGCAAAATAAGTTTAATATTGATATTTTCAAAATCAGTGAAAAGTGAGGCCTAGCCAGAAGGGGCAAGGAAAGATCCGGATGTCAGGTAGCGGGAATCAGTGTGAGTTCTCCCTTCTGCCTTGGGGACACAGCTCAGCTGTCTTGCCAAAAGGTCTTTTATGAACCCTATGCAGATGCTGAATGGCCTAGATGCTCTCAGATGGGTTTGCATCCAGGGGCTGTCTCATCTTCCCTGTCAAGGGGTGAAGCCACTGTGTGGGACAGCTTTGGCATGCGGAAGGTGGAGGGCAGTGCTGGCTCAGGAAACACACTGGCATCTCACAGTGTAGCTTGCCAGGCAGACTTCCAGACCCAGTGAGAAGGAAAGACAGCTCTTCAGTTGCTGCTTACTGGTCTGAGGGGGCTCCACACTCTGGGGGTGGGGCTGCTGCAGAAAGCTGGGTAAATGACAGCTTCTTGCCTGTGGTACTTTTCCTTACTGGAGACAGCCAGCGGCAGCCTTTTCTTTTTGTTGCGGCAAGAAGCCCAGTGCCCAGAGCAAGAAGACATGGAGGGCAGACTCTCATTTTACAGCTTGGACCCTATTGGAAATGATGACAGGGGAATGAGGAGGGGCAGCTGCGCCTGAACTTGCCCTTGGCTGCTTTTAGGAGTCTGGGCACAGGGCAGGTTGGTGGAGATTCAGAAGGCATCTGAACTTAGAAGCCAAACTCCCTTCCAGTTCAGGCCAGTGAGCCTGGGCTGCCTGGCAGCTTGAACCCCATGTCATTTGGGTCCTGAAACCTCACAGAACACTGGGGACACAGAGATGCTTCTGTAGAAGTCAGTGAATGGGCAGAGTACTCCGTGTCCAAGGTGTGTGGAGGGGGCGTGTGTGCCTGGTTGGTGTCTCTGTGCTGGCTTTTGGGTAATGTCACTTTGCTGGCCCATGGGGTGTGTGTGTGTGTATGTGTGTGTGTGTGTGTGTGTGTGTGTTTTGATTAGGACATTCCTGTTTTGTGGTCATCTGATCACTTGTTTTTGGCCATGGGCTTCTGTAGGAGGTTTTATTTTTAGCAGTTATCGCTTCTGGCCTGAGGGTTGATCCTTGGGCACAGCGGAAACATTCGCGTTTTCTGAGATATTCGTGGCTTTCGATTTAAGTATTTATTTTGAAGTATTCTTGACTTCTGTATTTATTCTGCTCTGTGCATGTGTGTGTGTGCACGTGTGTGTGTATGTGTGTGTGTTAGGAGAGAAGGGTAGGGTGATATAAATTTCATGTTCTTTGAAGTAAATTAGCTCGATGTGAGGCCCAGCTTTACCACGTACCATGTATTTACAAGTGAACTGTTCTGGCTCTAAAAGCCTCATCTCACCAACTCTGCAGTGGGCCCACTTCCACTTGCCCTGAAGGGTTAGAAATTACGTGCGTGCAGTGCCTGTGTTGAGTTGTGCACTTGCAGTGGCAGTCCTTGGTGTTTACACATATCCCCACCGGTGCTTCCTTGTGGTGGTCCTTGGGGTCCTGTAGGCACCTAGTGAGCCCAAGCCTGGGTGTTTTTGATTTGGGTACTTTCTGGTTGGCATGGTCTCTGGCTGTCTTCATGTCTGGTTCTGGTGTTACTGCTGGTATCTGGTTGGAGTTGGGGCTTTTTTTTTTTTCCTGCCAACTGGGAGGCCTGGATTGGAGTGAGAGGAGAGGAGACACATGTGTGTGTGTGCATGCGTGCTTGTGTGCGTGTGTTGGGCCTAGAGGCTGGGCTGTTGACTGTAGAGGGTGTGAAGTCACAGAACTCTGGGTGGGGAAGTTCTTGTTCCTGAGTCAGCCCTCTGGACCTCAGCCACTCAGCACTCACTTTTTCCTTTCAGAGAAAATGTTGCCTCCCCCACTGCCCGGGGCCCTGAGCCCCTGCTCCAGCACCCTACATGGTCCCCTCTGGCATGGGGATTGCAGACTTTGCTGATCTGTGGATTGGCTCCAGCCCTTCAGGGGTCCTTGGCAGGATCTGCATGCTCCTCTTGGGGGGCCTGCTGCAGTCCTGCCTGACTCACCTTGCCTTGCCTGGTTTTCCTTCTCTGGAAGTTTTGGGAGTGTGGGATGACCTTGTTGGTTGGGGCAGAGTCCACAAGAAGAGGACAGTAGTCGGGGAGCAACTGGGAGAGACTTCGGGAAATGCAGAGTGGGCAGGATGAATGGTACTGTTTGTCTGAACAGTCCCAGCACATTGTTTGCATGGAGCTGGACATGGCTGTAGGGGCTGGAAGACAAGTCTGTCCTAACAAGTCCTGACTCTGCCTTCAGCCTCCCCCTAACCCTTGAGCACCTCTCTCCTGACTGCCTGCTACACCTAGGCTCCCCCCTTCTTGTGCAAGGTTGGCCTTGGGGAGGGCTGGATCTCTATGCTTACTTCTGTATGTGCACTTCGGGCAAAGCCTGGTACTCTGCCTCAGGCCTAGAGCAGGAATTCTAGGCATGGAGATGGAGCCAACGAGGGGCCCCTTATGCTTTGTGCCTCACCCTTCAGGAGTTAATGATATTCATGATGGCAGAGATTATGGCTACCAGATGCTAACCTCTCACCATACGCTGGTCTAGACATCTGACTTCCATCAGTTCATGGCAGCTGGAAGTGCTGTGCATTCAGTGAAGAGTGGGAATTTCATGTGGTCCAACCTCATTCTGGTATTGTTCCTGTTGTACAGACGAAGACACTGAGGCCCAAAGCGCCCCTGTGGCTGGGGAACTGGTGCAATGCCAGAGCTGGCCTTGGGACAGGGGCAGTTTGCCCCTGGGACTCCTGGTCATCCTAGTTTTGGCTTCCCATCCCCAAAGCTGAGTGCTGGTGAGAGCTGTGCCTGAAAGGCCAGAGAGGTGTTCTCTGTCCTTTCCCTTTGCCTCTCCTTGCAGTGGCAGGAGCAAGTTTGGAGATCCTGGAAGAGATGCTCTTGGGTCTTCTTTGTGGGATAATAGCCGATATTCGTGACTCCACTGATGTCTGCTGCTTCCCTTTCTCTGTCCTTGCAGAGGTGGTAGGACACACTCAGGGGCCACTGGATGGCAGCCTATATGCCAAAGTGAAGAAGAAGGACTCCCTGAACGGCAGCACCGGGGCCATCAATGCGGCACGTCCAGCCCTGTCAGCCACCCCCAATCACGTGGAGCACACATTGTCCGTGAGCAGTGACTCAGGCAACTCCACAGCCTCCACCAAGACCGACAAAACAGATGAGCCTGCCCCTGGGGCCTCTGGTGCCCCAGCTTCCTTGAGCCCCGAGGAGAAGCGGGAGCTGGATCGCCTGCTCAGCGGCTTCGGTTTGGAGCGAGAGAAGCAAGGTGCCATGTACCATGCGCAGCAGCTCAGGTCCCGCCCAGCAGTAGGCCCGGCCATGTCCTCCTCGGGCCGCCACGTCGTCCCAGCCCAGGTTCATGTCAATGGCAGGGCCTTGGCATCTGAGCGGGAGACAGACATCCTGGATGATGAGCTGCCCAATCAAGACGGACACAGCGTGGGCAGCATGGGCACCCTGTCCTCCCTGGACGGGGTTACCAACACCAGTGAGGGGAACTACCCAGAGGCTCTGTCCCCACTGGCCAATGGCCTGGACAAGTCCTACCCAGTGGAACCTCTGGTCAATGGTGGAGGCTATCCCTATGAGTCAACCAGCAGGGCAGGGCCCGCCCAGGCTAGCCACGTGGTCCCTTTGCGACCCTCCTACTCTGCACAGGAGGGTTTAGCCATCTACCAGCATGGGGGGTCCCACCCAGCCTGGTTGCAGCCAGTGACCACCTCCCACTATAGCCATGACCACAACGGCTTGTTCCGCTCTCAGTCCTTTCCGGACGCCGAGCCCCAGTTGCCCCTGGCTCCAGCTCGTGGAGGCAGCAGTCGGGAGGCCGTACAGAGGGGGCTAAATTCATGGCAGCAACAGCAGCCTCGCCCACCTCTGCGGCAGCAGGAAAGAGCCCAGCTGGAGAGTCTGGCGAGCAGCAGGCCCAGCCCCCAGCTGTTGGCAGAGCCCCCCATGCCTGCTCTCCCGGAGTTCCCAAGAGCGGCCTCCCAGCAGGAGATCGAGCAGTCCATCGAAGCCCTCAACATGCTCATGCTGGACCTGGAGCCAGCCTCGGCTGGTACTCCACTGCACAAGTCCCAAAGTGTCCCAGGGGCCTGGCCAGGGGCTTCCCCGCTCTCCTCCCAACCCCCCTTAGGCTCTTCCTACCAGTCCCACCCACTGACCCAGTCCAGGTCTGGCTACATCCCCAGTGGGCATTCCTTAGCAACCTCTGAGCTGGTCCCCACTGGCAGGTCTTACTCACCTTATGATTATCAGCCATGTCCAGCTGGGCCCAACCTGGATTTCCGTCCCAAGAGCCCAACCTCAGCCTCTGCACCTAACTTCCTCCCAACCACCCATGCGCCTACAGGGCCTCAGCAGCCCCCAGCTACTCTCCCTGGCCTCACCACTCAGCCTCAGCTCCCACCCAAAGAAGCGACTTCAGATCCTTCCCGAACTCCAGAAGAGGAGCCACTGAACCTGGAAGGGCTTGTGGCCCACCGGGTGGCAGGTGAGAGCCTCAGGGACCATCAGATTGAGCCTGTCCTGTGTACTCCCTCCATCCTTTCCCTCTTCAGTTGTGGTGGGCTTGCTGGGGGGAGTAGAGGCCCAGAGATGATCCTCTGGCAGGTGCTGCTTGGCCTGAGGCCCGATACACAGCAAGGCAGGTTCTGAGATTCAGAAATTAGCAGTTCTCACCCTTCGGAATTTGCAGTCTAGTTCTGTATAGGCAGAGAATTCTAACGGTGAGCAAGGTGTGTGCTGACAGACGTGAGACTGAGTCCTGGAAGAGGGAGTGAGTGGGAAGGAGGGGTTACTATGCAGGGCAATCTGAGAAAACGTCCTGGGGTGGTGACTTTGGGGCTGGAGCATACTTTCCGGGCAAGAGGAGACTCTACAGCTACCTGCCACACTTGTCCCCAGCCTGCAGTCCTTGGGGCAGGGGGAGGAGGTTGGTGGGAAGCCTCTTAGACTCAGTTTCCTTCTTAGCTATAACACAGGCTGAGAGGTTTTCCCAAAGCCCTTGGGCTTTAAGTGTTTCCAACTGATCGGCCCTTTCTGCTTGCCAGTGGTCTAGATGGGCCTTGCTTAGAACCAGCTCTGTTGGGAAACTATGTTTCTCTTCTACCAGAGCAGATATACAGATCTGCAGAGAGAAGAGTGTGTGTGGTACAGCCAAAGAGCCCTTTAAGAAGAAATATACCCAAAGTAGCAAGACCCCTGGGTCTGATTGTGTTATGAGGTGAAGCACAGGCAGGGAGCCCAGAAGTGTGGGGTCAGGTGGGCCTGTAGCCAGCCTCCAGCTGTCAGGGTGACAGCAGGTGCTCTGGGAGGAAGAGGAGCTTGAGCAGCTGACTCTGCCCTCCACCCTTTTCCTAAATTTAGGGGAAGCTGAGTCACTATGCCAGCTGCAGAGAAGGGAGACGCCCTCCTTGAGGATGGACCATGGCTTTGGGGAAGCACCTTGGGGCAGGCCAGCTGCTCTGGGGTTGGGCCCGGGGCTGGGTGTAGTGGCAGGGGCTTCAGAGTGGAGACCCTCCAGGTCCCCTCTTGGTACTTTGCAGTTGGTAACAAAACAACGGCAGCCTTTCCACCATGGAGCTTGGCAGCCACAGCTTTCCCTCTCTGAAGATCTAATCTAGACCCCATTACATGACTGCTTTACCTGAGCATAGAAGCATGATAAACAGCTGTGTGACCCTAGGAGCGACACGTACCATGGGGTGGTCCAGATGGGGCCTGGACTTCTCCTGCAACATCTGGGATCTGACAGAGAGATACTTCCCTAGTGCTTTGTCAGTGGAAACCTCTTTCCTCCTCATTTTATTGGAGGGAGAGGACTGGAGCCACCTAAATTCCCTAGAAACGTGATTCCAGAGTTGAGGAGGTTGCCTGGAGAATAATGATGTTCTAGTGTAGCAATGAAGAAGCTGGAAAATAAGCTTCAGTATGAGTAACCCAGGAAGCTCAGATCTGAGGGAGAGTCTCTGGCCACAAACTCCATCTGGTCTATCTTGGATTTTACCCATCAAGTCTTTTTTTTTCTTATTGACCATTCTCTGTACCCTGGTACAATGTCCCTGGTTCATTCTGCTTTGTTCCAACCACCCCTCACATCTTATTTCAACTTAAATGTCAGAGAATACAGGGTCTGTTTTCTTAACTTGTAAGAGTATGTACTAGAAATCTGTAGTGCACATCAATTTTCTCCTGAAACCTTGCAAGCATTCTTGTTACAGGCAAGGGACAGATTATGGGCGCCTGTAGCACAGCTATCATTTAATGTTATATCGGATGACCCGGCCAGCCGTAGCAATAAGTCAAGAAAAAACAATGGATCGAAGGTGGAGAGTCCAACTGAGGTATCCTGTGTCTCTGATTCTGTGATTAGATTGATATTAGATGTCTCTAGAAGTAGAGATTTCAGTGTATCTTGAAATTAGATGTGGATTTTATCCTTGAGGAGTCTAGAATTTAGTAAGTGGTAGTGGGGGACTGGAACTCTAAGTCGTTTGTAATAAGAGAGGTGTGGAGAAAGTCCTGTGGGAGAGAAGTGAGGAGGTCACTATTGTTTGAAGCAGTTTGGGAGGCTATGAAGTGTAGACTTGAACTGACCTTTGCAAGAGAGATAAGATTTTGAAAATGGGTGAGGCACACAGGGATCAAGTGAGGCTGAGAAAGAACAGAAAGTGTTTGAAGAACAGTGAGAGGGTGAAGGGCATTAGAGAGTGTGAGAGGAAGACTCAGGGAAGGTAGCTAGGGTCCTGTCTCAGGATAGTTTTAAATACCAGGCTAAGGAACTGGACTTTTACCTAGTGCCATATAGCAAGTCCTTTCTGTGGTTTAGTTAGGAGAATGTGTCCTGCTGAAAGCTGTAGCAGATGAATCTGGAGGATCTGTGCAGGAAGGATGCAGCACGGAAGAGACATGGGGCTGATGCCATGGATGATGCCAGAAACACGATGCCATGGACCTGGTGGGGGGAAGCCAGCGTGATCTCAAATCAGTTGGCTGTGGTGGATGAGGCGGAGGCAGACATGGGATGTGATTTTGAGGCCCCACAAACACGATGGTGGTTCCATTAGCATGCAGGTGCTAGGTGATAGAGCTGGCATGGCATAAGATGAAGCTACAGTGTTAGGTCTACATTGATTTTGAGGTGACCAGTGGCACCTCCAGGTGTGAACATATAGAATTAAAGCTTGAAGAGTGGGAACAGTTATAGATTTTGGAATCTTTCTCAGGAAAGATTAAAGGTGGAAGTTAGAGGTCTAGGTGTAGATGAGCTCTTTATGTTAGAAGCATGGAGGCAAGAGAACTGAGGGTGGAACAGTCATGAGGGCAATGCGGGCTGTGAAGGGAATCTCAGAGAAGATGCTCAGGGCGGTGACAGGAGACCAGGACTATGTGTCATCACAAAGCGAGACAGTAAAGGGTTTCAAGAAGGAGGTGTGGGAGGTCAGCAATGTCAGTCTGAAGAGATAGGAGGAGGCGGAGAGAGTCCACTGGGCTGGCCACGGGCCTGCTGATTTTCAAAGGATCATTTTAGCTGAGTGCTGATGACAGAAACCAGACCATGAGGGGCTGAGCAGAGTGTAGAGGGAGTGAAGACGGCGTCCAACTACACTCTGGAGTGGTTTTATGATAAGGGGGAGAGAATGGTAGTGAGTGCACATAGCAGGGTACAGATAGGAGCCCTATGAATGTTTTCAGGTAGAGAACAGGAGGGGAGAAGGTTCAGGATGGGGGAGGAAAGAGCAGGAAAAGAAGAGAAAAAAATGGACAGAATAGTCTCGGAGGAGGTTAGAGAAGGTAGGTCTGGGAGCCAGGCTAACTTACTCAGGCACACACAGGAGCTGAGATGTTTCTTTATGAAATTATCAAGGGTGGATAAAGACATAGGGAGATACCAGAATCAAGCTTTGGGAGTGTGTATTGAGAACCTAATGTTGTACATTTTATTATGTATCTGGGATCTGGTTCATGGCTCATGAATGTGAGCTTTATTCTGTGCTGCTTACTAGGCTGTGCGGAATGAGGGCCAACAGCCGGGCAAGCCTGTGCTCTTGCAGAGTTGGACTCTAAACAAAAACCACATAGATGTGTGCTCTTTTAGATGTCTGGCGAGTGCCAGAGAGATAAAGCAGTGTAGTATCAGTGAGGAGGGAAGGCAGGTGTGCAGCTACACTTTACATGGGACAGTCAAGGGAGGTCATGGCTCCAGAGGGGATGAACCACGTGGAGTGGCCAGTGCGCAGGCCGCGACACAGGAGCGTGTCTGCGGCAGTGATCAGCATGAGGACTGAGAGGCAACAGGAAGGGGCTGGCTTTCAGTTGGCCCCAGAAATACTAGAAACTTCGGTTTTTAGGGTAATGTTGTGTGAGGAGCCTTAGAAAGAATTTGATCCACAAAGTGACATTCTCTGGCTCATTCTAAAAGGAACTGTGTGGCCAGGATGGCAGGAGGGAGATGAGTTAGAAGGCTGCAGCTATTGATCAGGGTGGAAGCCAGGAGGTGGGAGGAAGTGCTTAGACTGTGGACATATTTTGGAGTGATTGCCAGCAAGATTTATAGATAGATGAGACAAGGCCCACTCAGAGGCTCTTGGCCTGAAAAACTAAATAGTAGGCACTCTTTACTGAGAAGGGTAAGAGTCTGGGAAGAGGGGGTATCAGAGTATGTTGAGGTCGGAGATGCCCACGAAAGGTCTGAGGTCAGGTGTAAGAGTCAGGAGTTGCAGTGGGGCTATTAGAGCTCAGAGAGCTGAGAGGTGTCATGTGCACCCAGGGGAAGTCCAGGTAGGGAAGATCTGGAGGATTGGATGTGGGTCCTTGCTCATCTGGAGGTCGGAGATGGGAGAGGGGACCAGCAAAGAAAGTGGGGAGGAGCCGTTGTGGATTGGAGGAGCACTAACATCAAATGGGCCCTAGGAGCCAGGCTGGGGTGGTGCTGGCCACTTGCAGGGCCCCTGTGGTGTGAAGGGGGTGGGGAGTTAGAAAAGTGGGCAGAGGATGCCACCGTGGGTCTTTCCTGTGCATCTGGGCAGGCTCACGTTAAGGACTTCTCTGGTGCCCAGCAGCTTTGGGCAGGAGCAGATAAGGTGAGGTGCTCTGCAGGGTAGACAATCACACAGGTCAGATGGCTGAGGATCCAAGGGCTGTGGGGTGCTGGGAGATGAGGAGGTGGGACCCTTGAACTGAGGCTGGTGGTATCAGCCTGGATTCAGAAAGCGGCAGGAGACTGTGACAGAAGGGGAGGACCTGACAGATTATATGGACTGAGGAGCCAGCAGTAACAGGGCCAAAGCCTCCTGACACCTTCTTCCTCTGTCCCGGGGTTAGAAACAAGAGGGACATGGTGCCCTACTGGCCAGCAGGATGGCGCCCTGTCCTCTGGAGCAGGACAGCAAGCCCTGCCCTGTCTGTCTGATCCCTCCTGCCTCCAGCATATGCCAGGTCTCAGACACAGAACACCAACTAATCTTCATTTTCTCTCTGTTTTTGTTTTGTTTTGTCTTGTTGGATGCTGTGCCCCTGTGTTTTCCATGTGCCCCTGTGTCGATGGTGGGGGGGCTTTCCCTGCCTGGTGTCTCCGCTCCGCTCCCCGCTGCCTTCCACTCCCTGCCGGCTCCCCTGGGGCGGGTGGGCAGCCTACAATGCCAGACTGCAGGGCCTGGGGCAGAGTGGCAGCTCTCGGGCCCCTCCTCTCCACCGGCTCCGCTCTGCCTCTCTCTCGGGTGGGTTCCTTGTCTTCCCCTTCTCCCCTGCAGCTCCTCAGCCCCTACCGTGTCTCCCAGCTTCTCCCTTGTCCTCCCCTTGGTGCTGTCCCTCCACACCTTAGCCTGCCTTCCTCCTCATGTTGTTCATCTCCTCCTGTTTCCCATCTCCACTCCTCCCCACCATTGTCCTCTCCCCACCTCCTGATCTTCAGTCCCCCTCTCACTGCCCCCTCTTTACCCGCATTGTCCTCCCCCCCCGCTCATCAGCCTCCCTCCCTCCTGCTGCATGAGCCAGGGCTCCACTCTGCATGGACGCAGGCCCGATGCTTTTAGCTTTGGCTTGTCTGCTGGCAGCAGGGTGTGAAGTAACCAGACAAACTTCCAGGGCCCCACAGAGATGCAGGCCTTTGCAAGGAGAGGCACAGTGAGGGCTCCTGACAACCCAGCACTCTGCTACCCCATGCAAATGGTCTGGCCAGGTCTTAGCAGGAGCTGGTCTATGCTTATTCTTGGCTGCCAGGCGTATGATCAGGCTTGGTAGCCCATATCTGCTTCCCCATCCCCTTGGGAGCATGGCACAGTCTGGGGACAGAGTATCTCATCTGATCCCTCCACCACTCTGGGACCCAGAGCTAGGTAGTCAGGGGTCTAGGAGGTGGTCCTGGCCCTGCCAGTGCTAACCTCTGGGAACTTGGGCAGATCTCTTCCCTAGTCAGAGCTGTTTCTGAGTTTTAAAACTGGAGCAGCAACAGGCCCCCCTTGAGTGTTGCACGTGGCATGCCAGCACTGGATAGGGTGGCCTCTGCAACAGGGCTGTGCTGTTTTACCTGAGGATGGTGTTGTCCACTAATGGCTACCCTCTGTCTTGGACATGCAGGCCCAGAGGTCTTAGCCCTGGGGAGGAAGTCCCCTCATCCAGTCTCTGCTCCTCTGAGCCCGAGGCCACTGTCATTAGAGTCAGTGTGCTTAGTTTTGCCCACCTACTCTTGTCCCAGAAAGGGGCTGCAGGAGGGTGGGAGCCATTGACTCACAGTGTCAGTGCCTGGTGCCTTGTGGACCTCCTGTTCCCGGCCCATGGGGATGGGGAGCTGGCTCTAGCAGGCTGACCCTCCTCTTCTGCTCTTCTCTCTCTGTTCTTTTCTTGGCCTATGGTGAGGAGTGCATTGTTGAGCTGGGCCTAGGGTCTGAGCAGATTCCGGGGTGGTGCCCTATCCGAGGGGAGCTGGCATGGCTTGCCCTGGGGCTGCTGGTGTGATTGCCCGCAGTGTGGCTTCCTGGTGCCCTGGCCCAGCAGGTGGCCTTCCTCCTGGACCCCCTCACATCCGGAGACATGCAGTTGAACACCTGGCCCCGCCGCCTGGAGCTGAGGAATCCAGTCTTTTGGAAATCGAAGGCTGGAAAGAAGAGCTGGGTCTGTGGCGGGTGGAGGTGGCTGGGGTGTGCGGGGGTGACTGAGGAAGCCAAGCAGGGTGTTTGTCCATGTGATTCTGGAGAGGACAGTGTGCTTTGCCACAGTATACAAAGTGACAGGTGTTAGGGCTTCATCTTCCGAGACTGCAGTGTGTGTGTGTGTGTGTGTGTGTGTGTGTGTGTGTACGCACGTGTGTGAGTGCATGTGCACACACACACACACACACACATGTACATAGACACCTGCTTCAAGAGAAGGGGCCAGAAGACCGAAAGATTCTTGGGTAGAGGGTAATCACAGGGAGCAGGCTGTCTTATTATCGGTCAGTCTCTGGGACATGAGAGAGGGTTCTCTCTGTGCTAGGGCTGTCCATTTGGGTCCAGATGTCCCAGCTTGGCTGAAGAACAATGTGCTCTCTTCTCACTGCACTGGTTCCCCTCCCAGGGAGGGAAACAAGAGGGAGAGAACATGGCTGTACATGTAGTTGAGGCAGCTCCCGCCTTGCCAAGGGGGACAACAGTGGGACGCTGTGTTCAAAGAATGTCAGCGGTCCTAATGGGCCTTGAGTGCCATGCAGCACTCTGTAGGGCGTGGGGTCATCCCTGTGGGAGTGGAATGTGGGGTCTTAGCCCTGCTCGAGGGGGAGGCTCTGCCCTGCAGCTCCCTGGCTCTTTGGAGGTCACTGTGTCCACCCCGCCCCTGCCTTGGGATGGGGTGCATTCCCACATGCTGAGCCGGTGGTGGTGGGGACCATAACTGAGAAGATGCTGGTGCCTTGCACAGGGTCTCAGGTCACCCACCCAATCCAGTATCTTTTCTGAGCTGCTGGAACCTTCTGTGGCCCCTGGACAAGGATGCTGCTCTGGGCAGGTCCACAAAAATCTTCTCTTTCCCTCCAAGAGATGGGGTGCCACCATTTCAAGCAGGCCCAAGGTTTACAGGCAAACATCAGGTCCCTCAACAGGGAGAGCCCTCCTTGAGAAGGCAAAGGGATCTGTCAGAAAGAGACTGTTGAGTGGGTGACCCGGGAACTGAGGCCAGCCCTGTGTGTGTCCTTTAGCGTTGGAGCTGAACTAGCTTTCAGGCCCTAAGAGACCTTCTCAGATGGGCCTTCCCTGTCACAGTATTAGTAGAAAAATCAATGGCTCCATCTGTTTTCTTGTAATGTTTTTGTCAGCAGCAAGCCCAGCAGGGGCTCTGGGCCATGCTGCCCAGGAGGCCTGAGCATGCCCGGACTGGGTGGAGGAAGAAGCTACGCTGCAGCCAAGGCTTCTTCCCGGTTGCTCTGCTCTTCCAAGGCCGGGGAATTGCTCACGGCTGGCAGCCCAGCAGGACCTTCCAAGCGGAGCCTCTTTTCCAGGGCATGCTTACAGCAGCGCTGGGCAGGACCAACTGGATCCCTACTTTTCCTTCTGGAAAAGGGTGCTCTGAGGTTACAGAGGGCCTTGCTTTAAGCAGAGCAGTTTGAGCAGAGCAGGCCCCTGCCTTGCTGAGCTGGCAGGCAGGGCTGCCTCTCTGTAACAGTCCAAAGCAGTGACTCCAGATGTCTTTGGGCACCTTCTGCATTTAACGAGCTGCACCAGGCTTGCTGCCCTGCAGGGACCCTGCAGAGTTCTTGTCACAGGAATGCGTGAATGAGTTCATGTCTCTTGACTGGGATGGGGGTGTATCTACCCTTGGACTTGGTGGCCAGTGGCCTGCTGTGCTGTTCCTGACAAGCAGGAAGGTTTCCCAGCAGCCACTGGTCAGGGTGGCTATTGTGGTAGTGTCAGGCTGGGGCAGCTCCTGCAGCTTGCATGTCCCACTGTA